TGTCACGAACTTTCGTGCTACTTCAGCATGCATCCAGATCACAGTTCTTTGTCGTCGCCTGAAGCAGAAGGACGAGCCTAACCGGACAGAACGCCCGCATTCCACACGAATCGATCCACCGTCCGAAAGATTTATATGCATCTTTATAAGACTTTGCAGACTTCGCCATTGCTGTTAAATCAGACGTACACATGCTCACTGTAGAATGTCTGTATACCCTCGCGTGCTCTCTGCATTTAGCCTTCGATCTTGCCAGTCTCGAACTCAAGCCCGCAGCTGTACGGTTAGCTCACTCCGTGTACTACCATGCCGGAAGCTGGCTGGACAAAGATGTCGGCGGACGAACGCAAGTGGGCAAAGACTTGGTACTCCGAGGGCAAGCAGCCGTCCGAGATCGCCGGCCTGCTGGGCAGGGACACATCATCAATTGCCCGCCTGTTGTGTGTGCAGAAGCCTGTGAAGAAGCAGGGCCGGCCTAGCGCACTCACCAAAGCTCAGATCGACTTCTTGGAGCGCAAGCTTGACCAGATGATCGTTAAGGCGGACGGGCAGCACACCGTGACGGTGGAGATGTTGCAGAAAGCAGCGAAGATCAAAGCCTCTTCCCGAACCATACTACGAGCCTTGCACGAGCGCAACATCTTCTTCCGGAAGCTGCGAGAAAAACCGGTTCTCACACCAGAGGACGTGAGGGACCGTTTCCAGTTCGCGAAGACGTACCGCAACAAAACGGGTACCTGGTGGGCGAACCGGCTTGATGCCTTCATCGACGGGAAGCACTTCCAGGTCTATCTCAACAGCAAGGAGCGACTTCGCGCACACCCAATGGTGGAGCGTCGTGCGGTATGGCACCTTCACAACTGAGCACAAAGCTTCTGTTGACCTCTCGCCCCTCGTGTGGTGCAAGGCATCAGGAACACTACAGGGTGTGCCAGCCGGTGACGGGCCTTGCCACGAGTACGCCGTGGCAGGAAGCAGCGAGACGGTCGTGAACCTCTTCGAGGAGGCACAAGAGCCCTTCAATGCGGGTGCTTGGGTCAAGCGTTGGCAGAAAGCAGAGGTGCTAGCCAGCGCCTCTGACCCTGGCAACAAGAAGAAGGGGAGAAGTTCACTCCTCTAGACTTCACTGCCATGGTCCTTCACAAGAACCTACTGACGCCCAATGCAGTGCTCGCACATGTCCAGGAGTATGGGTCCCATGCATGTCAGCTTTACTGATTGCGAAATCAGAAACGTCTCTCGGACCTCATTGAGGGCGCACTGCAGTGGCGAGATGCCAAGCAGTTACATGATTTGGAGCAAGAGACGGACTGGGGTCTTCTTCAGCGTCTCGCAGGTACTCCTTGCACCTG